CCTGTAGGCCCGGAAATAGCCCTCAGTTTCAGGCTGAAAAGGCTCAGGCCTTTTTGGCTGAAACGATGCAGGGCCTGTGGGCCCCGGATGTCAGGCTTTTGGGGTGAACCGTCAGGGGGTCTGCAGACCCTTATTTCCAGGCCTTGAGCCCGAAATTCAGGCTTCCAGCCTGAACAACGCAGGGCCTGGAAAATGGCCTTCCTGTGCAGGCGCAGCATGTAACACTCCTCCTTCTACCTCTACTACTCCATAGCCTAGCTAGAGGTCCTTCTCCCTCACCCTCATAGCCTAGGTTTACTTCCAACCTCCTCTCTACCTCAACCTCCAGAGCCATGGAGGTCCTCGCCAGCTCCACCTTCGCCTTTCAGGAGCTCCGCCACGTCTTCCTCTTGGCGGAAGCTGCAGAGCAGCATCATGACTGCCGGGTGAATGTGCACATGCACATTCACCAAACAATATACTTGGAGTGGGGTGCTACCTGTCTCTACCCGCTTCACTAGGATACACTACGCCCAGTAGCAAGGTTGAAGAGGCACCCGGGAATTCACTTCCCTCACCTGCTCAGTCAATCCTCCGTTTTCTCTGGGGTGATCAATGCTGGGGGGTTGGACCGATTATACCCATTGTCGATACCCTGTAATGGGACGCTGGGCCCGTTTCCCTTTACAAATTCACGAGAAAGCACAATGTCGTCCAATTGCAAAAAGAAACGAATGAACTTGAGAGGAGAGAGAGGGAAAGAAGAAGAAGAAGAAGAAGAAGAAGAAGAAGAAGAAGATGTACACCAGCAAAGACCCATGATAATTCCCCTTCCTTTCGCCAACCAATCTCCTCCTTCTTTCTCCTCCCCTCTTTATTAAAATAATAATAATAATAAATAAATAAATAATAATAATAGTGATGAATGGTCGAGCCAGAATCTAATCCCTCTTCTACTGCAGGCATAACATGAGGTCCACCATAGCCATGGCCGCCCTTCTCCTTCCTCTTCATGAAGGCCTAGGCTATGGCGGACTACTAGGGCCTTGCCCCAACGTGCAAAAGACAACACCAAGCAGCCGTGGCTGTTCCTACTCAGGCTGCCATGCCTGACTCTGCCTCAAAGCTTCTTGATGCCCCTTGTAGATGGCTCCGATCTATTGGTGGGGAGCTACACCTGCTGGAAACCGGGTCCTGACCGAAGCAGAGTGTAACGAGCAGAACAGCATTGATTACCCTCTCACCAGGGGATTGACCGTCCGCTTAACCATGGATCAGGCCCCAACACCAATACCACCCCTATCAAACCTCAAATGATAAGATCCCTACGTACCCCTGCATCATGAAGGAACTCCATCAAATCCTCTTTCCTGCTATCTATCATCATTGTACACAGCTGCGATATCACACATGGATCCCTAAGCCTCCTCCAAGCTCAAGGATGCTCCCAGTTGTCCTATCCACACATTCTGCATTCTCGCCTCATCCTAATCAACACCGCATCTGTCATGCTAAAACTATTTCCACCTGGGTACGACCGGTAGGAGGGCTTTATGAGAGCATGACCGCCAGTTACCTCATGGCCAACTCAAGTCGTCAGGATCGTCCAGCCCTGAAAGAGTGGGCATATGGGAATATGGGACTGCAACTGTGGATTCATCCATGGAGAAAGATGGGACTGCAATTGTTGATTCATCCGTGGAGAAAGATGTTCACATGCTATCCAGAACCTCTCCACCTCGAAAAGCTGTAAGTTGTTGTTGTCGTTGTTGTTATTTATTCTGTGTGGGGGCAACTCCATCTTATCAGCACACAATCGTCCCCTTGTGATGAGACTGCCATCATGGACATGGTCAGGAGAAGTCTTTTTTTTTTTTTTTTTTTTTTTTTTTTTTTTTTTAAACGGGCCCAGTGCCCAAGGCTGATATTGATATTTGAAAAACTTGAGGCCGGGTTCCTCACAGTCTACCCGGAGTAACCAGACAGAACATGCTCAGAACTGGGCCCAGCGTCCCTCAGATGATGATGATGATGATGATAAAGAGGATGACGATAATGCTAAAGAGAAGATGGGCAACTGATTGGAGATAATTACTAAATACTAGTCAGGATGTTCGTCTACTTAGAATTCAGCTTCTTTCCTCTTCCTAATTCCTGGTATCCATACTAGTTCCTGTCTCTTATACACATCTAGATGTGTATAAGAGACAGGCGCTAGCCTCACAGGATGATGATTATGACGATAAAGAGGATGACGATAATGCTAAAGAGAAGATGGGCAACTGATTGGAGATAATTACTAAATACTAGTCAGGATGTTCGTCTACTTAGAATTCAGCTTCTTTCCTCTTCCTAATTCCTGGTATCCATACTAGTTCAGCCAATCTGATTCTGAAGCTATGTTGTGAAATATAGCCATTGGTCTTATCGGGCTGCTTTCCTCCCTCAGCAATCCTCAGTCTCCTACAGGCCTCAAGCTCCTAAAAACAGGTTACAGAGCGATGCCCCAGCACTGGACGGTGTCGATCTGGAGTCCACCCAACGTAGGCAATTACACTAACACTGATCAGTTTGAAAATAAGCTAATTCAATAATAACACCTAGGAAATGGGGATCTGATGTTCAGGGGAAGTCTAAATATCATACATCGTTCCTTTGTTACTGGCGCAAAAATGTCCTCAAGCAGCGCAATCACCCCCCTGTTATCACATTCAATTTGCTGTAATGTATGGCAACCCCCCCGCTTCCTTCATCAGACCACTCGGGCTTCTACATTGTGGACATCCACCAGTCCAGCGAGCTGATGACCTTCGTGGACTTTGCTCACAGGCACCAGTGCTGGTTAGGCAGACCCAGCCCTAGTTGAAGCACTGTCATGCAAGCCTTCTTGCACGAGGTACTTCAGATGGTAGGTGTGAATGCTTTTCTTTTTTTCTTTTTTTCTTTTTTTGCTAGGTGTGAATGCTACAGGCCCCCAGAGAACATCATCATGCCCCCCATCCAGGGGTCCATTCCTAGTTCAGCTATCCCAGGCAGTGTCTAATGGTCATCACGACTCATCACGCCAAGGTCTAACCATGAGAGCTCTACCTCAAGTACTACCCCTACTCCTAGCACAGTCTTGTATTTTGTTTTCTTTTACCACTCTGTCCTTTCTGCACTCTGGATGAAATCGTATGTTGTGGACAGGACGGCCTTTCAGGCCGTTTTTTATGGTCATTATAATTGAATTGGTGGGGCTTAAACGGCAAGTACATGGCACCAGCCTTGCAGAAAGTTTTTGTTGCCACAAGCAAAACTCAAGGGGCCATGCAGCATGGGGCCCCGTTGAAAAAAAAAAATCGGCGGCCTCCAAAGTGGTGCGGGTTTCGTGCTGACACCTGCAGGCCTATGTGTGGTGTAATAGTGCCTTAAAGAATTAACCTTATTAAAGAAAAGAAGAAGAAAATAAAACATCGTCGTATGTTCAGCTGCATGTTCTATATGTTTTGTGCATATCCCTATCTATGTCTGGTGGTCAGAGTTGTCAGGCGCCCAGCGGCAGAGCTGAAGAGCCCGTCCTTCCCTCGAACTCTGTTTTTGGTCCGCTACCTGCGCACTATGCGCTCAGTCCATCCCCTGGTCTTCAGGGTAGTCAACGCTGGCAGACAAAAAGTGCGATCAGACCCTCATCTTTGTATAATGTGATGGTGGACTTGCTTTCCAGCATTTGTAGCTCCCCACCAATAGATTGGAGCAGCCACAAAGCCCACTACAGGGGTGTCCTATTACCTCACCCCTCCTAGTGGGGGACATGGTTTTCAAAAAAAAACAAAAAAATCTTTACTGGTTGTATCTCTTTTTTTTTTTTTTTTTTTTTTTTCAAAAAGCCCTTGCAATATCCCTCTATCCCGGCGGTGGTAAGAGAACCGTCAGAATTGAGGGCTTATCTGTCGGGCTGCTCCATCTATTGGTGGGGAGCGGCACCTGCTGGAAACCAGGTCCAGCGTCCCATTGATACATCAGGTAGCACAGAGATTGGTGTTTGTTGATGCCTGGGGCTGTGACTCATCCTGGGCCTCTAATATCCCATGGAGCTGCTASTGTCACCCTTCCCTTTTTAGAAGCCCATTATCTATTACCCCAGCCCTATTTCAGCAGCCCCCCCGTACTGCTGTGTATGACCATTTAGCCTCAATTACCCTGGTGAAACAACCTACACCACCCCCTGGGACCACATCCTATCCTTCTGAATCAACCTAAAACCCTGTTATCCTGTTTCCCCCAAACCAGTGCAGTACAGGGAGGCATGTGTAGTCGTTACCGACCTGCCATTTGCTGTTGCACGAGTGGACAATGGCTTGACTCTATTGTCCCAAGGAGCTGCCGGCATTCCCCATCACTTTTTGGACCGTATTCAGCAGGCTCCCATTATTCATTATTACCACAACTATTCCATTAGAAATCTTTAAATCTTTAAACCCCTTAAAACTTATACCCTCTCAGAACCCATGTAAAAGCCATGCAGAACCCGTGCTTGCCACCATTATTGATCCTTGAAGTCCGCAGCAACAGGGCCCTGTCTCAGGGTTGGTGTCTTCGTTGTCGTTGGTGCCTGTCATTGTCATTCAATCCCCGATTATCCAGCAGTCTGGAGAGCAGAGGCAGGCGGTAGGGCGAGCAGGGGTGGGCAGTGGGGCAACTGTGAAGGGGGAGGGGGAGAGTACACTGGGTGCGTCGGGCTTGTCGGAGGGAACGAGGGGAGTGGGGGTGGTTGGGCAGGTGGGTCAGAACTTGGGAGGAGGATGAAGTTCGGTTGGAGGTATGGGACCTGGAAGTCCCTGAAGGGTTTTCTCTGCCAATAAGGTTTCGTTCTCCTCCATGGTTTCCATGTAATATCCAGATCGGTGTCGAGTTCCAAAAACAGTTTGTTAGGGTCCTGCCAAATCTGCATATAGGAGTCTCGAATGACCTCCTTGATGGGAGGGTCTTTCTCCTCAAAGAATTCACGCTTCATGCTTTTCCAAGCTTCCTGGGTTTTGGTCCTGATTTGTTCTTCAACCGCTTTTTGCGCCTGCAGCATGCCGAATTGGTGGTCCTTTCTTTCAAATGAGCATCTGGCTCTCCAAGCCAACATAAGGATATGTAGTCTTGTGTATGAAAAGAGGTTGGTCGCGAACGGGGACCAATGTGCAATTAAATGGTGGTTCTCTCGCATCAGCAGGAGGCCTCGGTCCCAGGGGATGTGATATCCATTGAGGGAGTGAAAGGCCGCATCCCACCATTGCAATAGTTGGGTGACCATCGGGCACGCCAGTAAGCAGTGTTCAAGGGTTGCTCTGGCCGGCGTGTGGGTATTTACACAATATGTGCAGATGGGGGACAATTTCCCTTGTTGTTCCAAGTTAGTCCTAGACACGAGCCAATCGGGTGCGGGGAGGCAGCGATGCAAGATCTGCCACTGCAGAGATCTATGGTTAGTGGGCATGATCTTTGCATATCTAGACCAGTCAAAAGATTGTGACAATTTAAGCTCCAGCGGCGAGTCTCGAGCCCATCTATTCGCTACGTTTGGCTGATCGGCTGGCTCTGACGTGATGCTCTGTATCCCCCTTTCACCGTGTAGTTCCATATGTGCATCGGTGTCGAGCCTGCCATTCCCATTCTTCCAGGTCAAAGGGAAGCATGGCCACGGGTGTGGTGGTTTCATATGCATAGTAGCCATTTTTTTGGTCCCCCACCACTCTCACCTGCACCAATCCCCCCCATCCACATGTTGTGTCCAAATCGTCATTTTTTAACAGTTTTGTGAATCTAGCCCTAGGCAGATGGGGTTCATAAGCTTACAATTCACAGGTCCCGTGATTGTTCTCCTTGACCTTGAATATGATTAGATGGACAGGTGCGTCTGAATATCTGGCCACCCAGTCATCACGTTGGACTGTCGGTCCCTCCCGCAGGGTGAGCTGCCAGGCGATTGGAAGTGCCTCTTTTAGCAGGCCTGCCTTTTCTTCCACATTTTTAACATGTTTAAGTTTATGTTGCAACTGGCCAGGGGTTGCCCACTCCCCTCTCACTACATCCCACAGGTCACCGACCGTGAAAACAACCAGGGGGAATTTGTTGTCAGAAGGAAGGGTTGGCCTGACTCTTGTAAAATATGCGGGTTGCCAAAGAGGGGTTGCCTCCATATATCGTGTCACCTGTTTGGGGGATGTTTTTGCTGGGGACCCCGTCGTCTCCAAAGTCTGATTACATAAGGCTAGAGCGGATCTGTCGTTATGTCCAGCTTTGTGGCGTGTGCCGGGTCAACTGGGTATGGAGGGTGTGCTTGTTTTGGGAATGAGGGGATGGTTCAGCGGTTGTTTGTCAGCCATTGGAACGGGTGGATTTTTCCTAGATATATCATTTTGGGGAGCAAGGTTGGCGATTTGCAAGCAGGCAAACGGCATCCAGGGGATGTCATTTCCAATAAGGAGTCGGACGAGGACTTTGAAAATAAGTGCCTCAGTCTCGTTTTCCGGATTCAATATTCTCATACCCCTTTTGGATCTGAGTTATGTCAGGAAGTCCCACTTCACTCTGTTGACGCAACCCTGAGTCTTAGCGCTATTTTTCCACAGGTACGTCATAAGGGCTTTCTTTAATCTAGCATGTTGTTGTTTGCTCAATGACGATAATGCCAATTTATACTAGATGGTCGCCAAGACCGCACTATTGATTGCTAAGGCGCATCCCACCAATGATGTGTGTAGGCCCTCCCAGTTGGCCAATCGGTCCAAGGCCATGTTGACCAGCATGTCCCCATGGTCTGGAGGAGGACCCATGGCAGTCAGTCTCACTCCTAGTAGGCTTATGGCCTCTTTTTTGCGGGCCCGTGCTACACTCGGCTCAGGTGGGGGTGACTGTCATTGAGGATGGAGCCACCAGCCCTCAATCTTTGAGTCCCAGTTAACTTTCATGTCGGCTGCAAGCGAGAAAAGGTGAATAACTTGGGTGAGAGTTTGACCACTGCCCGGGTCTGCTCGTATTAGTACGGTGAGATCGTCCGCAAAGAGTGATGTCACTGGTATGAGGTGGCGCGGTATGTCTGGGATTGGCTGAAGGCAAATCGGTGGTGAGAGATGGTCATTTAACATTATGTTGGTCGACGCAGATCTGTGCAACGAGTGCACCCATCGACAAAAGACCGGACCAAAATTCATTTTAAGCAGGCACATGTCAAGGAAGTCCCAATCAACATGGTCATATGCCTTTTCGAAGTCTATGAAGAGGATCGCAGCTTGGACCCTCCGTTGGTGGGCATATTTGATGGTCTCATTGACCAACAGGATATTATCCTGGATGTTCCGATTGGGCACGAATCCTGTCTGGTCCGGGTGAATCAACATATTCATGAAAGGCAATAGTGTGTTAGTGAGAACTTTAGCCACAAGTTTGTAGGGAACCGGAAGAAGAGTGATGGATCTGTAGTTTCTGATATTCTCGTTGTCCCCTTTCTTGTAAAGGAGGGTAGTAACCCCCTGGCCAATCATTCCTCCCAAGGATCCTTCCTTTTGAATCGCTTGTATGTACTCCATGAGATCATCCTTGAGGAGGTCCCAAAAACCCACCCTGAATTCTTTCGGGAAAGAGTCTATCCCATGCGTTTTCTCATCCTCCATATCCTATAGGGCAACCCTGACGTCATGTGAGGTTATGGGCTCGTCCAAGATGGCCCTTTGTTGCTCTGTTATAGAGGATTGAATTGCCTGTAGTAGTACATAGCTTCGACTCCAAAGCCTCACTGCGTGTTAGCCGGTATAGCCCCCCCTTGTACTCCAACCTCTCTATGTGTCATTCTGCATATGCCTACTCTTCTAGCCCGACCTCTGCTCCTGTGAGACTACCCAGCCACCCGTGCAGCAGAGTCCGCAGACCCTACATACAACCATACATATAGCCCACGGGCACACATCTATGTTACATAGTACATACACACATACACAACTATAGGGTTGGCACATACACAACTATAGGGTTGGCACATACACAACCATGGGGTTGGGAGGAGGTTACGATCAACTGATAATGATGATAAGCGTCTCAATGATAAGTACCCCGCCTTAAAAATACAGCTAGGGTCTGTGGTCGAAGAGTAGAGGCCGTGAGTCACTGGTTGGTCTGGTGGGTTCTAACTGGTGATGATGATAGGCGTCTCGATGATAAGTGCCCCGCATTAAATATACAGCTAGGTCTGCCGACCGAGTGAATAGGGCGCCTAACGCACGCGCGCCGATTACCGAGGCCCTTGTGTGTGTCCATGTCACAGGTTGACGTGGCTTCACGCCAGTCACAGGTCTAGCTGAGTTGGCCAAAGCATCTCTGCGCCTATCGCACCCTGTGTCCCGCGTTGATACTCCATAGCCACCGTGAACTAAATCACGACAAATGGCCCATCGTATGTTGACTTTGACAAAGTCTGCATGTATGGAGTAGGCGGAGAAGGCCCCTGGAAAAGGGAAGTGTGTGGAAGGAAGGGAGTTTAAACCACCAGTTCACCCATACCTGTTTTTTTTTCCCAAAAGATTTCTTTTGCCGAGCCTGAAAGTGAGGGGGTGCCGTCGTCCTTGAAGAATGAGGTGTTGGACCTGCTGCCAACAGATGGAACAGAAAGCAGGACATACGTAGTTTTTGTTTTTCAATTTTGTATCTCGTTCTTTACTTTTACTTCGTTTTCACTCATGTGGCACGCCAGGCAGGCCTAAGAAAAAAGGAGAAAAAAGGAAAAAAAAAAAAGAAGAGAAGGAAAAGAGAAAGAACAGGGCTACGCAGCTCAGGGCGTACTCAGACTACACCGCTCTGGACGGATCTGCCTGCAAGCATGTCCACACGTATAGGACTTCCATGGATGTATCAGTCAGGAGCTGCGTCCAGGTTCAGGGCATACTCACAATCGGATGCTTGACTCGACTTGGACGTGATTGCGGTCAGATGCATGCATCATAAGTCGCAATCGAGGTTGGATACATCGAGGAAAGTCACAGCATGAGTATGCTCTCAGTCAAGAAACGCATAGTGCAAAAAAAAAAAAAAAAAAAAAAAGCCTGTTACAGCGGGAGTGCCCCTCGACAATCGAATCATCCGAAATCTGGCAGGACGCCAAAATCGCCTTCTGGTGTGGTCCGTGCTGACAGCCTGATGGAACGTTTTCGAATAAAGGGGGATGCATCTTCCA